CATCCATCCATCCATCCATCCATCCATCCATCCATCCAGATTTCTCCCTTTCATTTGATTGTTCACGCTCTCCATAGTTCTCCTGTGGCGCGAGCACAGGGCGACTATTGCGCGCCTTTAGCGAGCATGCACGTTTCCTGTCGCTTGCGCTGTGAATCGTGCCGCCTGCGCTGTGCGGAGATGCAGGGGAAACCGTATGTGATGGGGAAACGCAGCTCGACGTAACACCTGTATTTCCATCTGGAAAACGCTGTTTTGCTGCTGGAGTCCTCCTCACTCTCCATCTCTCTGTGTGTGCTGTTCGTTAACACCCGCCAGCAGAAACACCCACCTACCCAACTGACAGATGGAATCTCACTATACATCAGCCATTCTCATCCTCCCCTGTCTCATGACAAGGCGCGCACGAGTCCTATCATGAAAAAAGGTTCATTGTGCGACCTGAGTAACGCGCAGTAACGGGTTGTCGGCAATGGTAACTGCATTATAGTTACAGGCAAAGTAATTAGTTAGATTACTCGTTACTAAAACAAGGTAACGGCGTTACTAACCGTTAGTCCCATCACTGCCAATAAACACTCAACTAGACCGATGAAAAGGGTACATGCTCAGTCATTTTCAAAGCAAAGCTGGAAAAAACACACATATAATCATAACTGACAAAAAATGATTTGGTATGTTATCAGTAGAGGGGTAATAACAGGGGCCAGGAACAGTCCTATATGGGCACTGGCCCCTGTTGGCCCCAATTTAGTACCCCCCATGATTTATATAGTTAGAATCATCAGTTTCTGTGTCTAACAGTCATAAGTACCAAGGGCCAAAACTAACATTTGTAGCAAGAATACATGGTAAATAGGGCCACATTGTGTTCCAACTGTTTATGTGAAGAGGCTGACCACAATTGTGAAGGTGTGTTAAAACAACGTCAACTTAATGAATAGAGTAGATATTTTAATAAGTCAGGTGTATTGTTATTTATCATTAAATTTACCATTAAAGGCTTAATGTTTTGTTTTGTTCGTTTTTTCGTCCAGTATGCCACACAACACACCCACACACCCCCACCATGGACTGTTCTCCCTGTTGCCCTCTGGGAAGAGGCTCGCAGCATTCAATGCAGATCCAGCAGATTCCAAAACAGCTTCTTCCCCACCACCATCAGACAGCTGAATGTTAAAAAAAAATGAAAAAAAGAAGCTGAATGTTGAAAAAAATCTCTAAACAATGTCACAGTTTCTGCATCAAACTGACCATATCAATGCATTTTCTTGGCACCATGTTTTGTTTTTTTCTCCCAATGTTTACATTTGAGCACTGCTCCACTTTAAGAAAAGAAAATTTTATTTTTCTATACACTGAGTTTTTACAAAATAACAATAAAGTTTGTCCAAGTCTAACAGAAAATGGACAACAGACAGGAGTGTCAGGATACTGGACTCATAATCTATGGTTCAGCACCAAAGAGGAATAAAGCATCACATTTATGGTAGGGGAAACTCTGTATGGGAGAGTTGGGATTAATGGGAAGAATAACAAGAGTATGAGGCTAAAACTGCATTGTCTACTGATGGTGGTCAGAGGGCCCGGTGGCACCAGTGTACGGCAGCCCCGCTTCTGTCAGTGAGCCCCAGGGCAGCTGTGGCTACAATGTAGCTTGCCACCATCAGTGTGTGAGTGTGTGCGTGAATGGGTGAATGAATGTAGTGTAAAGCGCTTTGGTCAAGTGTCCTGACTTGAATAAAGGCGCTATATAAGTACATGCCATTTACCATTTGGAATACCAGTTAATAAGCAGGCAGGATTCCACACCACTGGAAATTGGCCTAAACCATGAGGAATTCACACTGACTTTGCACCCTCTTTGATGGCAGTCAGGCCATCGCCATCAGTTCCTCCAGTACCAGCTGGACAGTCAGCCCCCTCTGCATCTCCACCTGTCCAAGCCAGGAAGACTGCTTTCTCCATATCCCCGCCTGTCAGCTGGGCAGACAGCCCCCCTGTGTTATTGTCTTAATGTTTTTTCCAGTGGCGATCCATTCTCATCCACAAACTGGACCATGAGAAATCAAGGTAAAAAAAAAACAGGAGTCAGCCATTTTAACACTACACTGAAAGCTTTGGGAACACAGCTGTAATTCTGACAGTTATTACAGTTTCAGGGTTAACAAACCTAGAATGGAAAATAAAATAGATAGTTTAAAAACCCACTGGGCATAGTTCTGGGTTTTGCTTTGTGTTCTAGATGTTTTTTCTTCGGTATTCAGTTCAGGTTCACTTCCTGATCTGATCCTGTTAATTTGTCACACCTGGGTTTATTTTACTAATCTGTTCCCCTGATTTATTTGTTCCTGAACCTCGTTCAGATTTAATCACTTAGTACTAAAGTTTCCAGTTTCATTGTCTGTCCATTGTGTGTGTATGTTTTTTTTTTTTTTGTTCATGTCTTTGTTATCAAATCTGTTTTTACTGTACTTTATTACTGTAAACACTTAATGGTTTATGTGATGGTATGTAAGGTTGATGCAATCTGAACACCCTTGAAACTGATTTTATTCAGTTAAATAGGCCACAGTTTGGGAAAATGTGCAATAAAGTAACTTTTATTTGTGAAGAAATTTGTTATTAGCTTTAAATTCCTCTTCTAAATGTTGAAACTGTATGGATGTGGTGGAAAGATGTGAGTTTATTTAGTAAAAAGAAAAGGTAATTCTAATTAAATAGCCTGTTGTAAATTGAGGGAAAAGTAAAAACTGTTGCAACCGTCCCAACTCTTCCCACAGCTTGAACGTTTAACGTGTTTAACCATAGCTTATCTGTGTTGCACAAGATAAAGCATACTAATAAAGGAATATTTAGTTTATTTAGACTGATGATACCCCAAAGTAAATCTCAACACATTAAGCGACCATGATTGCCTATGTTTATTTTTTTATTTTATTTTTTTAACGTCTCAAATGGGAGGTGGGGGGTATACGGTTGATGGCTGCTGCTGGTTTAAAAGCAGGACAGGTTGTTAGTCCATCACAGGGTAAAAAAATATAAAAGAAAACTTTTTATATTTTTTCTTATAGATATAAGATACTAATCCTTAAGCATGGAAGCAGATTTCACTGTAAATGCAGTCTTCTGCTGTAGGAATTCATGGCTTTACTTCAAGAATACACACATTTTTAAATAGTCATTCAAATGTTCTCCACGGCAGAGCAGATTCAAGATTTACAGGAAATCTCTGAAAGTGATCAAATACACGGTACTTCTACTTCCATACCGCGTTTCTTTATACTCTGCATGTCAACCTTGTATTTAGAAAATCAGTTGGACCCAACCAGCTACCAAAGGTGGGATTCATCATATTTGCACCAAAGCAAAAATATTAATTAGTCATTGAAGAAAGGAATAATAGTAATAGGCTACTTGAGTACCAAGTAACTGATAAAAATGATGTGAAGTTACACAAAATACAGGGTTATTTGCAGTTAGACACTACAAAATAAATAGTAACCATGAGTCGAAAAAAATTCTGCAAAGACTTTAAGTTTCAATGTTTTCTAGCACTTTTACTTTACAGTTGAAATAATTTCTATCATCTGCTTCACTAGTTCCAGCTGTTTTCAGACCACATTGTGGGTTGCAGCATAATCTCATTTGTGCGATTTCCTCTTTCTATTTCCTCCTCATTGCTCTTGCCTAAGATTTCTTTGTTATTTTCACCACCGGTGCGCCTCCTCCCGCCCCTGCCCCATGCCACAGCAGTGAAGTTTAGCGTATCAGACCACAGCAGTGCGCTGCATCAGCCCTGCAGGGCGGAGGAGACACACAGATGTTTGCACAGCAGATTAACACACAAAGCAAGCTGAGAGCAAAAGTTGGTTAACAGAGTTCCCCATATCTAAAATCTCCAAATCACTCATTTCTATTGACTATTTTTGAAAAGAAAAAAAAACACAATTGTAAAGATATTTGTTTATTTTCCTCTTTTCATATTCTTTTTTAAAATACATTAAAAACACTTTCAAAAAATATTTAACACTGATAGCAGGCACAAAACAGCATCTGCATAGTTTATTGTTCTGACTTCACATTACAGTACTGAAAACATATTTATTAAGAATAAGAAGTAGAAACTGTGAAATCAGAGAACAATGAGGTAAGACTGAAATAGTGCCAAAACTGACCATTTTTAAATTCGAAACCTTCCTGGATGTGTGACAATGCCAGAAATTAGGATTTTTTATTTGATTTCTAAAAAAAAATGAAGTTAAACTTTGTAAAAAATAAAATAGAATAAGAAATAATACAGTTTATACATTTATATGATGCAGGTTACTTTTGACTGGCCTCAGTGTAGCAGCTGTAGAGAAATGTTGCATATCTAGCTGTTTAGTTTTTCTAATACTGCATCCGTTGGACTGCTTTACAAAAATGTTAAATTATTCCCATCGAAAAACAGGAGGAAGCCCTCAAAGCTTGTGAGGATACATTTGATTCATGGTAGGTAGCGGGTATCCGACTTGGGGATTTAATAGAGGAATGGAGTAAGGATACGGGTAAACAGCTGAAGCAATTAGAGCAGAGTGACTTGGACCGACCGGCATAGGGTGGTACATTAGCTGGGAGTGAGGGAGTCTCATTCTGTGGGGAAGGAAGGCTGGGTGTACTGGTTGCTGGTGCCGAGATTCTCTTCCTGATTTGTCGTAAGTGGAAAGGACGCACGAGGCCGGCAGGGCGGACTGAGGCAATCCCTGCTGGGTGGGGGGAACTTTCTGCTGCACTGTCCTCGATCGGTCCCTCTTCTCTATATGATAAGGCCACTGGTTCAAGCTGCCCAGCTTCTTGGTGCATGTCAGGGAGTTGTCAATCTGCAGCAGCCTGCTGTGAGGATGTTTGTAAGTTGGCCGAATAGGAGCCGGCCGCAGCAGCTGGACAGATTTGGGAGTAACTCTGGTGAAGCCAGAGGTGGAGGTTGAGATGGAGGGGGGTGAGTGGATGGGGTATGTGTAACATTTAGAAGTTCCTTTGTGATAGGGCTTCCAGGCAGAGTCTTTTATTTGGCTTTTTACAGAGTCAGTATGCAGTGTTTGGGAACTGATGTGAGGCGCGTCCTTTTTCTGTGCGGAAGCATTGGTAGCCGTCTGACTGCAGCTCACAGGCTTGCTGTCCACCTGTGTTTTAGCGGTGCTTGAACAGTTCTCAGTCGATGTAGAGCTGGGTCTGGGTTTGTCCCTTGTCCCAGCTGGAGATTCTTCTGAAGAAACAGACAAAGGGGAAGGACTGCGGGATGAAGACGAGGATAACGGCAAAGGAGAGCCTTCGGAGGAATTGCAGTTCCTACTGGAAGAAGCCCGGACCGGAGACTGGGAGCAGTGGATGACGGAAGGCCTTTCCTTGTCCTCCCTCTGGGAACTCGTCGGCACATTAAGGCTGGCCTGAGCCATTCGCTTCTTCTTCTCCAGAGGGGAGATCACCTCTCCAGTTGCAGACGGAAGATGAGCAACCCAGCTACTGGAAGCAGGAACCTGCAGGATGTGGCCATTGACAGGAGTGCAGAAATCTCCAGGAGTCCTGCCTGGTTGAGAGCACTCTGGGGGGTGTCTGTCAGCGCTGGGAGGCCAGAGGGCGAAGTGAGGATTCATCATTGACTCACTTTGGCAGACCACGTCTGGACTCCTTTGAGGAAGTAACTGCAAGATAAGACAACAGAGATTTGGTTAATCAAATTGAGAAATTATCTTTTTTCTTCTTTCATTATATTAATTAATGCTTTCTGTTATTACCTCAGAATCCATTTCTCTTTCAGAAGAACTCCTCTTCCGCTTTCCATCAGCCTTGTTCATTTTACCCTCCTGGTTTCTCTTGTATGGCTTCCTTGGTTTGCTCGGAGGCAGAGGTTTATCGTCTTCTCCTTTTATGTGTCTCTCGAACGGCAGAACCAACCTGTTGAAGAGCCAATCGATCTCAGGTTTACAAACATCTTTTTCTTTTATGCATTGCTTACTTTTCCCTCCTGAAAGGACCCCTCTCACCTCTCATAGTGTCTCCGAGTGCAAGTAGCAGCACTTGTGCTACCTGGGCTTCCTCCAAGCTCATCATAGACTCTCTTCCAAAGACGCCCAGTTGTCACCTGTTGTTCAGCACAATGAGGAAGTTTAGGTCCTTAATCATGATAATTGCAGTCAGTTTTACTCTGTTATTAGGAACTCAAAGCTAATGACTAGTTCAAGTAGAACTAAGAGCTAACGCTAATTAGGAACTATTAAAGCATAGTTTCATTTAGAGCGAAAAGGCTGTGCATCACAGCTGGTTTTCATGTGTAAAATACTGTTTATAGTCCAACAAAGATGGTTCTGATCAGAATAACTGCCTTTTTTAAGGTAAACATAACCAATAACAATGTTTACTTGAAAACATTTTTGCTTTATATGATGCTTTACTTATATTTCAGACAGTTACTCTTTGGAAAACACCAGCCTCATCTGTACAACCTCCTTCCTATTTAATTTCAGCTTGGGATTAATAAAGTATTTATGAATTACTTCATTTCCTGTGTTAAGATCATCGGTTTGTCTTAAAGTAATCACCTAATACAATCAGAGTGGCATCTTGAAGCCAAAAAAATATCTAACCTTAAATGGAACTGAGTTGGTTTAAGATGGCTTTATGGAGATATGCTTAGTGAATATGCAAGTAGAGATATTTATTGTGGGTAAGATGTTTATAATCTAAAACTAAAGAAAAAAACTTCATTAAGGATAAACCTGCTTTCAGATTTAGCGTTGTTTTCATTTCCAGCTGTAACAGAAATGCATCTTATCATTTATTTGTGCATCCTGTGTTTGGGTGTGGGCATACTAGCTCTCAGAAGTATTTTTAAAATGTCTTACAGGAAGGTGTTTGCTGGCCAACCTTCAAAAGCCACGTCGGTTGGTTTACTTTCTTGAAGTGACACTCATTTTTTTTTTTTTTTTTTAGCTCGAGCAAATGTAAGCAGCCTCTGTTGTTGTTTTTTTTTTTTTTGCCCTAGTAGCAAAACGTTGGTGGTCAACTCTAGCCCAGTTTGGTTTCACATAAATGCGAGTTTCACTCTTGGTATTCATTTATAAGCGGCAACATCAAGAAAGATATGATATTCTGACAGTTTGTCAGAGTTTTTTGCCCTGCTGTGGTACTATAGCAAAGTTTTAGCATTATAACCTGCTTTTTAACAGAAACCAACTAAAAACCAAATAGGTGAAAAGTTACTCACTGATTCATAACCTCCAAGTTTCTCGACAGCTTTGTAGATCATCCAGAGATCAACTAGAAGTAAAAAAGAAAACAACCACCATGAGAACCAAATTATTCTAATGCAAACTGCTTTATTTATTTATTAATTAATGACTAAGACCCACTCACTCTGTTTAAAGCCAAGATGTGGGATCCTTTCTATCGGAGTCCCCTTATCTTTCATAAACGAGTGCAAACTTGCTATAAATGCCTTTTCCTCCATCGGTACCTTACTGGGCCTTGTTTCTTCCTCGCATTCAGTCGTAGAGTCATGAATTTCAATAACACAGGGAGAGGCCTGATGAGAAAAACATCAAATATTATGTAGAATAATACAGAACTACATCGATGACTGCACTGTGTAGGAACTTAATTTACAGTTGAATGCATCATATTATAGATGAGAAAGAGGAGTCATCTCAAAACACACAAATGTTGAAATGAAACATGAAAATCAGAGAGTGGGGTTTTACCGCTACTTTCAATAGATAACCGCTACACATCCTGTCTGGAGAGAAAGCTGCAGACTTGTGGGGTTTTTGGTCTACAGTTGTCAGTCAACGGTAACACGGATGGCACTTTGAAAAACAAGCTGTTGCCAAAAGAATATCAACGGTGGAAAATAAACTTTACTTATTGTAGCTCGGATGTGAAACAAAACTTGAATGAGGTTGGGTAGCATTAAGAAAAATGGCCTGTATGTGATAAATTAAACAAAAATAACATCAAATTTCAAACATACTAATTTTTAGTTAAATATGTTCTAATGATTACTTCAGGAATTTAACTTATTGGTTTATAATAAGATGTTTATGTTTTTTCTAAGGCTGTGCAATGCTGCTCTGCTCTGTTGCCTTTTGTCTGAAAGTTACATCATTTTTCTTTAAGGTTTAGATTCTCTCTGATTGGTTTAGTAACCATAAACCAACCAAAATGTAATCATTTATGCTTTTTTTGAAAAGTAAATCTCTTTTCCTTAATGACTTAGATTGTATATTATTGCTAAAACATAAGAACGAGTTACAATAATAGGGGAAAAACGCTCTTTGATGCTGTCTTTTTATTTGTGTCCCTAGCATGATAAGGATACCAAAGCTTCACATATGACTAAAGATGAAGGCAATTTCTTTTTTCTTTTACAGAAAAATTCCAACCACGTGTGACTAACCATTGGCTTACGTGTCTGATCACATAAACGTTACTGCTTTTAAAGAAGCGTCAGGGCCCACAGTCGCTGACATAAAAGAATATTTAGAGCATGCATGATTGCAAAAAATTCCACTGGACTCTCTAAATTCTGCTCATATATATATATACGGTAAAGTCAGCTCAACTGGTTTGGTGCTTCTTCTTTGAGGTTTAGTTTCTTGTCAGCAGCCACTAAACCACCCACTCCTCTGTGACATCTTCACACAGCTTTGCATGTTTTCTCAAAAACTCTTAAAATAAAGATCCTTTTCTTTTGGGTAACATAAAAAAATTAAAGTAATAAAGACGAAGAATGTGTAATGGAGGTTATCATGATTTCTAATAACATGTTCCTTTAGCTTTAGTACCATGGGTGGAACTGCTTCATAACCCGCTGGTGAGACGTTGTGTGATTCTTTCAGCAGATCTAAAGCTGTTACCAGCCTTAAGTATCATAATCCAATTGATGTGCTTTAACTTTCCATTATTTTTTTTATTTAATCTTGCTGTGATATAACCAAAATGTAAGAAAATACCTGATTAGTTTAGTAACTTTTTTTCAGTACTTTTTGCACACACTGAAAAAAATATCTGTTTTTAGCAGTTACTTAATCATATTTAGTTACTTTAACACGATTGTTTTATGCCCTACACTGCTAACATGCTAAAGTAACTAAATATGATTAAGTAAATGAGAAAAACGGTTGCATTATTTTTTCAGTGCAGAAATTAGATTTTTGTTCCTTTTTTGGAGTAACACAAATATAATTTTTTGGTTAATTTCATGGTCAAGCTGTCTGCTAAGGTAGCAGGGCTGCTAGATCAAGTTTTAATGCGTCACCCTCCTAAACCTATGCCTAATGTTAGACTCTACCAGTTGGCAGCGGATATTTAAGGAGTGATTTTCTATTTTATCACATGTCTCAGCAGATTAAAAAACAAGAACTGTTTTTTAATTCGGTATATCGTGTGAAAAATAAAGCTGTCTGCATTTAATATGGGTTAAAGTCTTGGAATTTATATTGTTCTGCTGCATATTTTCCTAACTGCCTTCTAAACTACTACCTCCACCCTAATGCAAAAACATTTATACACTTTCAGATCAATTGGCATGCGAACAATGGGTAGCTGGTATGAAACCCACAGTGTGCTAATTTCAGGACAACCACTTTACCCACAGCGCAACAGTTAGGCCAACAGGACGTTAGCTTAGTGTTGCATGAGATGAGGTATTGTTATTAAAGTGTCATGGCTGCCACATCAGAGCAGCAGTTTTGTTTATGTGGCAGCATGCATGGTATTGCTGAAATAATGTAAATAATGTCATTAACTGCATAGGATAAGCTATAATAGGGAGAATATATATAGATTTTTTTTTCAATCAATCAATCAATCAGTCTTTGTTGTTAACTACAATTTACATTGCAATCGAGAATTCAGTTTCAGTACAAATCGTTCATCACAATACATGCAATACATCGGGGTGGGGGGGCTGAGAGGGGGAACGGATTTACTGAGGCCATTTGTGTCGCAGAACGCTGCCAGTGGCGCGTTCTTTTGGCTTGCTAGGTTCCTACCAGTTACCTGGCTTCCCAGGCGATTACCTATAGCGCTGCCTTTTTTCATGTTATCAGTCTGCATGTTTTACAATCTAAAAAGGGAGAATTTGTGGTTATTGTAGGATAGGGAAATAATGTTAATGTTTTCTATAGCTCAGCTAACCTCTAGTGCAGAGTAATAAGTAAGTAATATAGGACTATAGGAATTATATCAAAACTATTTCTTCCTTTTTTATCACTTTTGAAATAAAGCTTTTTAAATATGGCATACTTTGCAACTGTAATGCATAATGTTACCTCATTAGAAGTGGGACAATATGCTGGGTAATTAGCACACAACAGACTGTAGTGACTCTTGGCCTCCATCCATAAATGCTGCTATAATCACTCAACTGCTGAAGTGAAATCAAAAGATTTCAAACATTCTCACCACATATTCAAATGTAGAATCTGACATTACTGCGTCCCCGATCGAATTTCAGCAGATTGGATGTCAATATTTGACTTTGACTCATCAGACCCAGAGGCTGCTATTTCTGTGGCGCTCATTGTACAACAACACAGCGACAGGCGGTTTCATATTGAATCAAGTTCCTCTATGTGGTTCCTGGTTCCGAGAAGCAAACCTCTAGAGTGAGTAATAGTGAAGGTGCAGAGCTCAAACTAAGACAGTCCCGACTGAGTCAGAGCGCAGGGGCCAACGCTGGCGTTCCCACCTAACAGGGAGCAGCTCTGACTTTCCACTGTTTTGAACACCTTTGTGATCAGATCTCTCACCATACAGGTTGTGAAAACAGAAAGGGAGATTTTTTTTAAACTGCTTTAGGGTTGGCTGATTTTCAAGCTCTGATTTAAAAGTAAAATGCTGTAGAGAATACTTTAGCCACAGCAAGAAATCAGATTAGTAAACCTACTTGAAATTCACCTCCTCTCAGATAGAACCTGCCTACTTTCGGCCATTGTTTTCTAGATCTGATTTAGGAAAGTTTCAGGTTTATGCATCGACGGTTGCCTACAGGAAATGTCTGCGCTATGAGCCACATACTGTAGCCCCCCCAACTATTGTTTCTGCAGCTCCCAGTCCACACCACCGAGAAAATATCATTGTGAAACATTCGCTTGATTTTCACTGATGAAATTTTTTTGGAAAACTGCGTGGGTGATGATGTCAGTGTGTTGTATGTGCGATTCTTGCAATGACTGTGAGCTGCGTTCAGGATCGATGCTATCTGGAGGGCAGAAGTCACCGCAGAAACCGCCGGGCTTTCAACTTGGGTCGGCCTTGGAAATTTAATGAGCTAGTTTGTGCTTCTCATATTGTACCTCTCACTTCAGTTACCAGAATAGTGGCTTTGAGTTTCTTTATGCGCAATAAAATATTGTAGGGTGTGAGTTTCTTTTTTTTCTTTTTTCTCGCAGTCTCTTTTGTGTTCATCCTTCTTAGAATGCAAAGCAGAAGCATGTTCCTTGTTACTCATTTCACAATCAGTCAAACAAGATGAAACAACTGTACACACACACACAATCAGTCCTTCAAACTGCTGGGCCTCATCTTAAATCGAGCAAAAAAGGGGAAATGAAAACACAAGATATAACACATTCTGTGCAGTCATGTCTGTAGTGACAAATTAAAAGTAACTGCAGGAAATTGCCCAGAGGACCAACTGAATTTATTTTTTCTTTGATTATCATCGTTTCTGGTACCTGTTTTTCTCTGGCTTTGTCTTCATCGCTGCCTGCCGTTTGTTGTGATGCTTCACTCTGGTCCTCTTCAGCTTCATCACACGTACATAAACACAAAAACCAGGAAAAGTCACCCTAACAGTTTGTAGTTGAATTCAAAGAAGCCACTACTTCTTCATTTCGAGAAAGCCTGTCATTTAGAAAAGACCCAACATCAACTTTGTGTGATCTGTGCGTCAATCGGTCAGATGACTTATCAACACAAACACACAAAAAGTAATCTGTAGAGCATATTGTTGACAGAGTGTGATATAAAACCACAGGTTGCAAAACCACTTCCTGCTCAAGAACACAATCGCTTCTATGCTGCACTGTATGATATAATGACAAGAACTACACTATCTGGAAATGGAGGAATCCTCTTAAATACAACTTTGCCCCCTAGACGCTCCGTGTTGGTTTTAAGAGAAAAGGGAACAATGCTGTGAATTACCTGTGATATGAAAGTTCCTAAAATTAGATTGTTGTCTTTGAGAAAATGTTTGCTTCCCTTAGATGTGTCCAATCACTCATAATTAGAGGGGAAACTGAAGCATATATATACTGCATATATATATAAATCACAAGCAGGGGAGTGATATGCACTTCTGAGAAAGACTTGTCATTCTTTTTTGCGAGCTCTGCCTCGATACCCTGTGAGCTCGCCACCCACATTGATATCAGTATTTTTTTTTTTTCATAAGGGCAAAACCAATATGCTTCTCTTTTGAGATCACTTGTTTCCTGTGCTTGTGGCTTAAACCTTTAATTCTGCTTTCAGTAGCCTCTTACTTCTCCTTTTTAGGTGATGAAGAAATATCTTTAATTCAACTTTTCACAACTCGCTAAATAATTAACTTTTAGCTGGATTTTAACTAGATATGTACCTTTTACATCACAGCAATCCGACAGTGTTAACAGATTTTGGTCAAATTTATATATGTAAAGAAATATTGTTATTGTTCACAATGCTGTAAATCTATTAGATGAGGTAAAAAAATCAGCCATTGTTGCATCTTTTCATATATTGCTAAACTTGTTTTTATAGATTGGTAAATAAACTGCAAAAACACATATGTATATATATATATATATATATATATATATATATATATATATATATATATATATATATATATATATATATATATATACACACGTCTGAGCTGATACCAAGTAATGACATCCTATTGATGTCTATATCACATAATCCACAATCATTCAGAATGTTTAATGTTTTACAAGAATAAAGGAATCTAAACAGTATCTGTGGTGTATATAATGATCAAAGCGCTACTCACCCATTTCCCTGAGCTGTCTTCAAGTCTTTAGCTCTGTGTGTTGTGACAGTAATTCATGCGACAGCCTCAACTTCACACCACGAAATAGGAAGACGTGTCTGCGGGACAGTTTCATTGGTTGACTGATGCCATGACAGCAAATGAGGCTGGGAAACAGAGTTTTTCTTTTTTTTTTTTTTTTCATACAGTCTCACAGTATTAGTTCCCACCTGATAGTCAAACAGAAAAAGTCAGAATATTTAAATCAGTGGTTTAACAGCAGATTTGTTTTTACATGTGAACTATTTGAAGCAAGCCAATACTTTAGCTTGAATTAAATGGGTCTTTTTCTTTGGTGTGATCATCACATTACATTATCCATATTATTATATTTTAGAGTTACAAAATAAGTAAGCAAGTAATTTAGGAGATTTCTTTCATAGAGGTTATTTGTTTTTACACTAAAAACAATAGATTATAACCAGGACTCTATCAGGTAGAAAGAGAAACAACCCTAAACTGATCCTTCTTCATTAAAGCAAAAGCAAACCTGTTATTATAAGCACATGGGCTAGACTCAAACTGGACAGCAAAATTGCTTGAATTTGAGGAAGTGAAAACAGCACACAACCAATGTCCAAATAAAGGTCTGAAGACTTCTAAATGCGAGTCATTTCCTGATTTTTTCTTATTAAAACAGATACTTATTTCTACATTTATTTTTGAATAAAGGGAAGCCTATCTGCAATGTATTTTTTCCATCTCAGAACAGTTTAAATAACCACAAATGGCTGATTATGTGCATTTGCTTTAGAGTGAGCAGGTCAGGGATAAAATTGGTGTCAAACATTACATCCTGGTTACTTAGAAGCCAATAAAATATCTAAAGATAGCATAGAAAGAGAAATAATATGAAATATCTAAACTTACATTCACATTGCTTGTTATACGAGATAAAAACAGACTGATTGGATCTTTGAGTTGTTAGAGTTTTGCATCTGTAAATATACACAACATGAAGGTAAATAAGAGTTGTGAGACTGCTGGGTGGAAGCTGCATGCATTGATGTCCTCACATTTTAAGGAAGAGAGATATTTCTACTTCTTTAAAACATTCTACCGAGTATTGCCCTTTGATATTGGTTAAAAATAAAATGTCAAGACAATGCAGAAGCCACTGTTTTTCCACCTGAAATAAGCAGAATTTTTTTTTTGTGCTGCCCAATGTAAATTACAGGGTGTTGTCTTCAAAAACAGAAGTTTCCAAGAAACGTTTAGACGCTGTACAGCCTTTTATAAATGTATATATAGATTTATTTTGCAGCTGTTTTCCCTCTGGCTATCTCACACTCTGCAGATGTAGTGATACAGAATAGATGACAGGCAACACCCGACTCGATCCACGTTTCCTCCGAATGTTTTTGATCTCTTCGAAAAAAGGGGGTGCCCTGCTCTTCCATCTGGTGCGGATAGAGATTGACATTTCAAAGTGATTAGCATCTAAAATGTCAAAATAAGCAAAATAATCTGCAAACTGTCTAATGCTTGTAAGGGGGAAAAAGGTTACAGAGAAAAAAGAAAAGAATCTTAAATTTGATCAGAACTTTTTGCTCACATGAAGCGACGTTTGGCAGCCTGAGATTTGTAATCTGTACCCACTAATTAAAGACACCCATGTCCTAAATAATCTGAATTACAGTAAATTACTCAGCAGTTATCTGTAAGTAAATGTGTTGAAGCTGTTATGTGGATTCATTTAAGTTCTACTGTTGCCTCGGTTCAAAATACTTAATTCCTTGTAATGGTGTCAAAATGTTTTTTTGCAGAACTCGTGAGAAATTCTGACTTCTTTCTTTAAGCCGACAACAAATGTGGAGCTGATGAGCAAAAACAGAGGCTGTAAGACTGAGAAAATCCCCCTACCATTCATTTTAGACTTTCAGTACCATAAAACATATGAGGTTGAGGTGAGGGCAGCGCCATCAGAATGAGAACATGGGACTGAATATTGTGATTATTATTGCAAAGAATTGTTTCCAACCTTAAGTTGACTCAGTTTACTGGGAAGGACCTGCAAAGGCATCTAACTAGGGCATGAGATTCCAGTCTTGGTCATAAACGGGGTTAAAAGATGCGATCTTCAGAATTCAGTTTGTATTCAGAATAATTTCATGCAGACAAGAACACAGAGTGGGAGGTGATGTTTCTGTTTGTTCTTCATGGTTTCTAAATTGTGTAGGTGCGTGAGTGGAATTTTATTCTGAAACTACATGAGGCTGAATAATTTCATGTCAAGTTCACAGTTTACATTAATGGAAAGTTTCAGCTGGAATTTCAATGGAAGTTTAAAGTAACTATAAATTTAAAGGGGGTCAAAAAAAGGAAAACAAATGTTTGCTCTTGAGAGAAAAAGCCAGAAATACAGTGGAAGGTAGGATAACGGGTGGAGGGTCTTTTCTTTTTGTTGGTAGAATAATATGGAAATTTTTTACTCTTAAGCTGCACATTTATTTCCTTTATCTGCACTATATAGCTGACAGATGTAAAAGCAGATAGGTGAAATCTGATTTTCACCTGAAATTGAAACCTAAGGGTTTAGAGGTGAATTCCCCAACTGTTACCTCATTCCAGGAAACGGACGGTAGAGAAAAATACTCAGACTGTGCATACATCTGAGTTCCTGTTACACCTCTGAAAATCCCTTCAGCTTTTCTGTATTTCAACCGTTTGTTTTCTTTAACTGATCTAGATATTAGAGATAAAAAAAAAAACTACGGTAACAAAAGAAATTGGTTACATCTTTTATTATCAAGAATCTCTGCATAACAATTAACAGTGGGAAACCAAACATGATTAAAGCATCATATCAATGCCCTCTCTATGCATGATCAACGGACATTGAAGCTCTTTTATTTGCATGATTAAAAAACTAAATGAAGTTGCATATAGTCTGCTGTGAAGCCAGATGAAATGTTGGATTAAAATAACAATTGCACTCACAAACTCTTCTCTTTAGATAATAATAACCGTCGCGCATAATTCAGAAGCTCACTGAGGATTCATTTCAAATATAAATGAATGCCGACTTTAATGTTCTTCTCCAGCTTTTCCCTGAAAAGTTACACATGTTGAAATTATGTGGCTGAAAATGCAGAAGGACTTCAAATGAAAACTGCCTTTTTACTCACAGTTGGAAAGAAAAAGGAACTTAACCCCTTTTGTGCACTGCTTGCCCTTACAGAAAACACTAAGCCAGAGCACAGCTAACATGATCTGTTGGGTTAAATATTCACTTCCACCACAGTAAGAAAAAATTAACAAAAAGTACACAGGATAAAGGTTCATTCATATAAACAAAACAAGGATTATTCAGTCTGCCGGTTAAAGAAGGCAAAAACAAGGCAATAATGATTTGGCTGAATCAGGTACAGCCATCTTTTCTCCTGAAATGGGAGGTGGGTTGGGGTGGTGGGGGGGGATTGCTACAACTACATCAAATATTCCTGAAATGAAACTGAAGCCACTTTTAAAGGAATGTGAATCAGAAGTGATTTTTTTAAGCTCACAACTGAAATTAAGACGTAAAACCTGACGTTCTACTGCATCACGCTGACGGATAAACACTTTTCTCAGGGTTAGAGGTGGGATGGGGAGGCTTGCAAGTCTATGGGTCTGTGCAAATCCATAAACTATGCAATCAGCTGCTGAAACTATCAACAATTTAATGGGATTTGTTCTTGAAAGAAGGTGAGATTTCAAAAACTTCTGGTCCACAGATACCATGCTTACTGGTCCGCCATGTGGAGACTTATTTTGTTCATTTTCAGCCTGATCTACAGTGTAGGAGCACAGACGTTTGCTGTGAGTCGTTTTTAGCTGAAAATGTCCTCTGAGGCTGACGCTGATGAGCCGCTGGGCTAGATGAGCTCCACGTAATTGGCTGGGAACATCCCGAAGTGACCGTCCGGACCGTATCCTCGCCACCATCCCTCGTCGATCATTTCGATCCCGGCGATTATATCATCTGGATCGAAAGAGATCTCGGTGTCGTCGGCTGAAAGAGCAGAAGAGAAGAGTGTTTGCGTGAGCAGAGGCATCACCGTGGTTACCAGGCTTCAGCAGAAAGCTGTGGCTCCCTGACAGTATGGGGGACATTAGTAAGCACGTGATGAATCACCTCCACATACAGAAAAAAAGCAATTGTGTTAGACAGTAAGGAAATAAACCATTATCTCTTCAACTGGCTGACACCTAAAAACATGCAACTGAAAGAAGAAGTGATGCAACAGAGAGGTCGCCCAATCTAAGAAAATGTGCCCTTCACTTCTCGGAAACATGTACGAATTTAAAACGGCACGATATGCGTTTTATAAAAGCTGCTGGTACATTTCTGTAATGTTTGAAACAACAACAATTAAACCAGTTCAATTTAGGCTTTTCTTTATTCTCTTGTTCCTTCCCATTAGGAGGAATCTAAATGGACAGGAAGTGTCGATGATAAATAGTCGAATGATTTAAAGAGGAAATAAAGCAAAATGTTGTTTATCCTCTTTCTAAGATTGAATATGAAAACACTATTTATCATTTACTGCTCTTAATCCATTAAGGATACAAAGCAAATGGATGACAGTTTACAGGTTTTCCTCATGTCTGAATAATTATCTGAATAATTTTCTCCTCCTGGCCTGATTCAGACACTAAAAGAGAAGATAAGCCGTGCTAATGTGCATTACAGATGTTTTAACACACTTTGAAGCATAATGGCAGCATGAACTGATCTAATAATAAGACGAACTGAAACAACGGTTCAAACTGTTAAAAGTTAACGATCCTCTTCACAGTTGCTGGAGGTTTATAAATGTAAAAGATGGATTTGATTCTTATTGCCACAATAATTTTGTTCTTCCTATATAAACTAAATGGGACATTATGTATTTCAAAATGAGAACTTGCATATCTCACTATTCGGTAACATTTCTTAAAACATCACTTTATATCATAATGTGTAGCAAATATGGGTTTGTAACGCACAGAAAAAAGATGTCTGCACTTCACCCGCCCGTGTTTTACTAGCCAGGTTTTTCTGCACTGCAGCCACAGAGATGTGAAATTGACAAAAACATCATTCAAGGAGCCGCTCTGTGACAGCCCATAAACTCTGGCAGGCCTTCATATTGATTGTTTTCTGTGGGGAAATTACCACAACTCAAAGGTTGTCAGAAATGTTTATTTCATGTACAGCCATGCCTCATGGGCAACATATCTCCCAATAATACATTTAAATATTTATTTAGTTAGATTTGCTCGGCTCTCCTGGCAGGATTAGAGTCAAAACAGCTCCTAATCCAAAGGATAGAGCACATTTTTAATATTTCGATGGCCAGAAAAGGGAGTTTATCCAATACTAGAGAGCTGCTTACAGCAGCAGCATGTACCTCTAACTAGTACATAGAGTTTAGTTTTAACTTGCCATCATTTCCATAATAAGTCTAAGTCAGTTATTTTAGTCAACATAAACTATAAAAACACAGCTTAAAAATTATTAATCAACAACTGACCTGCTCTTTCTGAAGCTACAGATTACTGGCAAAATATCAAAGGAAGCAGCAGAGCTTGAAATGAAATGGTGTTTGCTGGAAACTAGCCTGTTTAAAACTACCGTGGTTACACTAATATGACATTTTATGGGTTCTTTTGGGTTTGGACCAACTAGATTTTTCTCATATTTGTAAATGCATCTTCTGCAAATGATATTCTTGACGTCAGCAGTGCAAATCTTTAAGCAGTGGCTCAAATCTAAATATTTACACATATATAGCAGTTTGTCCATTAAATTTCAGGGGTTTTAAATTGAGCTTATAAATAATCAGTACAAAGGAATAATCCTTTTAAACAGCATTCAGAGATTGTTGCATAACTTTTGCTGCTTGACCTCAGAAAATGATGATTAGTTTATCAGTTCGCAAACCTAAGCCACCAACAGCTTACAGAGAACAGTACAAGTCTGTTACCCCTTTCTCACACTGGCTCCGGTGCGGTTACCGACCTGACGGAGACCGCAACTCCCGCACACCCCCTCTCACAGTGCCCTTTTGACTACGGTGCGGTGCGGCTCTGCGGCTCCGGCAACAGGTCCGGAGATTTAACAGAAGTTCACTTGAGTTCACGTAACTTCACGCGATAACAAGGCCCAAATTAGGATATTTGTGAGAGCTTGTTGCGGAGGGCTCCGGCACGTGTGTGGACAGCTCAGCAGCCGGTGAGAGAGGTTTACGTCTTTTTAATGACTTGGAATCACTGCGGCGCCGCACCCACCGCACCGGTAAGACCGGAGTCAGTATGAGCCTGGGGTTACACTGCATGCAGCCACACTAACCAATATCTTAGAGGCATGACTATGTTTACTAAGGATACTGCCACTTGTGGCCAAATGGAGAACTGCAGCGGTCTTCTGCTCGATCTTGTAGCTCACACTCGTACTTGTTTTTATTTTACTTTTTTCACCTTACAAGGAGTTGCCATTACTGTCTGAGATGAGCTGGATGCTGGTTCATTTTTTAGTATCTGCAAAATCCATCTTGATTATAACGCTTTGATTGTTTGCTAGATTGAACGCGCTTGACGTCACTTCCGCTGAACAGCTGAGAGACTTCCAACCCGAAGCAAATTAAGGAGAATAGGCAACAGGCTTATAGATCCATCAATGCTGAACTACTGAGGTGTCAGTCTGCTCATCATAAAGTCATAAAGTGTCAAATAAAAAGCTATTTTGAAGATATATTTCAGTAAAAGAAATTGCCAAATTTCTCCCAAAGGCCCTTTGTCAAAGCTTAAATTAAAGGAGCAATAAATAAGAATTTCTTTGTAAAATTAAGTAAAAACATTCTCATTCGTCACCTGCTTTAATAACAAACTCATAACCCAACACTCAAGACATAATCCACCCTTTCAGCCTGCACTGAGACAACTCACCAGCCTGATAGTCATATAATGCTCTCGCACAGATGCCTCTGTCTGGTGTTTCCTCTACAGTCATTTCATAGTTACTCTCTTCCACCTGCAAGAGAAATTACCTTCACTCATGTTGTAGATGCAGGTGTGTAAGAAGTGACAAGTGTCTTGTTTTAGAAAATGGAAAAAAAAAACAAAAACAAAAAAACACCCACCTTAGCTGCCTCTTCATAAGGCGTCTCTTCAACATAGGAGTTAACCACTGGTGCCTCCTCTGAAAAAAATAAGGTATTGTATTAGCCTGGAAAAAAGGGAGAGTCGTCTACCAGCAGGTGGCAGCCTAATCAAAAATAGGGTATTAAAGACATGAGAAATAAACAAGCTTCTTTTGTTTGTTCAAATAGATGGGAGGGATGGAAAATGATATATGAAAACTTAAGATGATGGGAAATGAGATGCACCCCACCTTTCTTTTGTTCCTGGGGAGGAGTCTCCTGCTCATCATTCTCAAATGCAGACTGCTCATCATTCAAATCCGGTTCTTTAACACCCAAAACACAAGCACAGACATGCATGTAGACAGTGGAACACAGTCACAAGTCCATACAGGCTCAGCACCACAGACAGACCAATGGTGGGAAAAGCTCATTTAAAAACAAGTCTGAGAGGTGAGCTGAGGGACACTGGGAAGCATTGAAATTAACCTGAGATGACATGCAAACATGAATGAAACACAACTTTTTGTCAAGTGAACATGTTTCACACCAACAGTTTCAAGCTGCAACATTTTGACAGTCTTAATTTCAGCTATTGCTAATAATAAAATAAGATTTTTTTTATTTTTTTATTTAGACTGGCTTATTTGTAGACCAAGGCAGAGTAGCAGCTGTAAGTTTTCCAACATTCATTATAAATAAAAAGCCGAAAGTTGTGGTGTGCAGTTGTATTCAGCCCGTCTGCTTTAATAATTCATAGAATCATTTTATTGTAATCACTGAAATGCGTCTCTAATACTTTTAAAGGATTGTTTTCTCAGTAGAGTTCACTTATCAGAGGACTTGTGATTTTAACCGTTTCTCCTACACTTTATTTGTAGTTTCAGAGTAAAGAGGTCTGAATACAAATGCCACACTTTTCAGATTTCAATTTGTAAAAATTACCTGGTTTTATTTTCAAAGAAGAAAGAAGGTTGAGTCTAAGTAGGAAATCATTCATAGGCAGTGGTTGTGAGTAGAGTTTCTAGAACGAACTTCTGAATCTGGTTACTGTGATTATAGTTGATAATCTTCCTGTGTCTGTGTGTGTGGGTGGGTGTTTCGGATGGTAATTGTGTGTTAAGCACAGACCTGTGGCACGGACAACAGAGGCGGCTGCTGCTGGCACAGGAGAAGGAGAAGCTTGGCGAGGAGCTGAGTTGGCTCGCTCAGGTTCGTACACTTGCTTAGACAGAAAAGGGCTTTGAAGTCGCCCTGAACAGACGAAACAAAGAGGCCCCCAAAACATGCCCACAAATGGATGAGAGAGAAAACAAAGCGGGGACAGACTCAGCAGAAGAAAAGACACGGCGTTAAGTATGATCATGAGGCAACTAGGCACTCTGATGAAAAGATCGGAATATGGAAAAAAGGATGGCACTGAGACATGGATTACGTTCACAACTAATACACCCTGACAGCAAGCTAAAACTTTACATGGATAGAAGTTAAATACTGCAACAAAAGCAAGCTGTTAATGCTTCGGCTGGGGCTGACCTGGCTGAGGGCTACCAGGGGCAGCGGAGGGCACGTCTGAGTCGCTGGGGGTGATTCCTCGCTCCCTCTGCTTAAACATCTCCCTGGGATTCACAGCACGCTGAGAGATGAGTGAAGCTGCCTCCTGGAGGAAAAATGGAAAAATATAGGAAAGGAAATAGCTAAAATGTTTCTTCATTTATAGCAGAGCGGTTCGTATGAAGAAAAGGTTAGTAGGAAAAATTTTCATAAATAAGTCCTGTGGACTGAATGTGGAAAAAAAGGATCCCTTCTGAGCACTAAACACATTAGGCCTAAAAAGAGTAATAAAGAAGAGAAAAGGTGCATGAGGTAAAAGGAGTTTATGGGATGGAGAACTCACATTGGCTTTCTCCACAGAGTCACCTCTCATGACTGCTTTCCCTGGAGCTGCATCCTGCTGCTGCTCCTCCTGGTAACGTCGATATGAAATTTGGAACGACTTTCTGGCTTTTACATGACGTGCACTTCAACTTTGGCTCATTTCACCCCCTTTGCCAAAATCATACATTGTACCAATTTTTTTTTTAAACCAACAAACTATTTAGCTTGAATGAGGATAAAATCCCAAGCATAATTTTTTTCTCTTTTTTTTTTTTTTTATAAAATCATAATTTTCTTGGCAGAAACACATTTCCCGTTTTAGCTCAGATCCAGACTTTCTTCCCTGAAGACTAAAACGTACAAGAAAAACTGAAGGCTGTGACAATGGTAAGAGCTTTCAAACAAACAGAAAATAAGCGAATTACAAGGTTATCTCCATAGACGGATCAAACCCTTAACTTTATTATTCTTAAAAAGTTCCAATTCATTTAATGTATTGAAAAAAATTCGGATTTTATGTTTTGTGTTTGAACTTAATATTTGGAATTGGCCAATTTCTTCAAACCTGCAGCAATCTCATAGTTTAGTATGACGTAACTTTTGACCACTGATTTCTGTTTTAATTCCACTGCAGGTGTCGACTGGAAATTAACAGAGTGTATTCCAGCTGGAAGTTGTTATAAAATGGGCAAATAAAACCACATTTTTCATAGAACACCATGTTGTTTTAGACCATTTGTCATCAAAGCGGATTCAAAATGGAAGCCTCAGATAAATCAGTGTTTGTTTATGTGTCAGTCTGCTGGAGAACTGAAAACCTTTTACTCTAAGTGTGATTTGCTGAGAAGTCAGAGCGAGACACTCACCCAGCTTTGTTTCTCCTGCTCTTTGCTTTCAGCTTCCAGCTGATGCTGATATTTCCTGACAACAGGAAGAAGAGAATGATAATTTTAATGGATGCCGTTATGAGTCGGTCTCAACCAGCTGCACTTGCTACCTACTTTTGCTCATCGATTTGAGAAGCTCTCTCCTTGTCCCTTTTCTCCCTCAGCGCTGCCTCTTTGGTCTCTCTGTCTTTCCTCTCCCTTTCCAGCTTTTGACGCTCCTCCTCAGCCTTGCGACGTTCCTCCTTGCGACGTTTCTCCTCTTCTTTCTTAAAAAAAAAAAAAGAAAAGAAGCAGTTTAAAAACATCATTATAAAACCAGAGAAATCAGTCTTTGCACTCCAATAACCAACTAAGATCTAAAAAAGCCCTATAATATTTAAAATATTCATCACTGTCTTTTAGAAATGGATCCTAGCCATTTTCCCTCAAAACAGTCTTTGTTTAACTAGTGCAAAACTGATTGAAGCTCTTCTGTTGAGCAAGTCCACTTGAGAGAAACCAACCATCTTAGGTCAGACTGAAATAAACTGTTAAAAAGCTGATGTACCTCTGCCTGTGCCCAGAAGTTGTCTTTATTGGTCTTCCTGATTTCTGACATGGCATTGGTTTTCTGGTACACTGAACCCTGTGGAAAGACATTTAACAGCAGACGTTAGGAGCATATACCATGACTGTGTAAGTAGAAATCCCAAACAAAATCTACTGTGATCTACAGCAAGTGAAGCAGACACCAAATCTAGACATCCTCTCCAGCTTCAGCTCCCTCCACTCACCACCCTATCAGAGTGCTATGTGCCTCTACACCACTATGGACGTGGTATAATACTAAAACATTTTCCTACAATCACAATACATCTCCCTCATTATCATTATTGTACATACAGCATTTTGGCAGTTAACCTGTTCTACAACTAAGAGACATAAATGAGAAGGATGCCCAGCTATAAAAACAATAGTTCTAATAAAAATAATCTGTTTCTCTATGCCGTCGTTACGACTGCTTCCGGGTTACTGCCAAAACAAAACAGTGAGGGGAGGGGGAGCTGAATCAGGAGGATAAGAAGTCTAGATTTGTTTTTTAATCTTAGTTTTTCATTTTGAAATTGAAGATCAGATATCAGGTCATTCTTCGGTTCTGATCTGGGATCTAAAAAGAAAACAACAAATATAGGCTTGTTTTTCTTAATTTTATTTGGAAATCAGGAAATGATTCATTATCATTTTGGATTTCTCATTACAAAAATCATAAACCCAGCAAGCACACGGAACTAACAGCTGATGTTTGTCTGAGAAATAAACCTGGAGCCATATTAATGACCAATGTGTATTTCCATGAGGGGAGGGGGGGGCTGGCCATGTTACAGGATAATCAAATGTTTAACTGAGGCTGAGAAGTAATGTTAGCTGACTTGTTTTTTCACTGTGTGATATAAAAAAAGAAAAGTCAAATCAAAGCCGGCATACCACGGGCCCCTGGGGACCGGCGTCCTGAAAGCGGCTGGATGCTTCTTTGTGGAAGCTGTAGTTTGCTCCTGAAGCTTTGGCCACCTTCTGCATGATGGCCTCAGGCTCAACGTCCTCCTCTGCTCTGGCATTAATGGTGACATGGGCCCCCTGAAACAGAAGGAAAGCAAACATCTCATTTTTAAAATTTGTTCTTCACTGAACCATCCAGTAACAACACATCGACTACCAGCAATGATCTGTCAGCAGCCTTGATAATGAAAAACAATAGAATTGTTCCCACTGTAAATACAGGTCGAATTAAATGCTATAACATATATGGAATAGAAGCATAATTTGCAATGAACCAAAACTTAAAGCAAAGATCCTTCACAGTACCACAAAGCCAGAGGAAATCTGTCCTCTCTGATTGACCCATCCCTTAAAGAGCTATCTGGGGTTAAGAGTTTAGCTCAGGGAAGTCCTCCTCCCAGACCTGTAACATAATTTCTGACATCCTCTACTCCCCTTCTGTAGCTTCTGCTGTTTGAGTGTTGAGCAGGTTTCTGTCACTCCTCTCTGAGGTGGTGCAACACAGTAAATCCAGCTTTATGTTAACTGGACATTAGTCCTGCTAAAGCCGTGTAAAGAGGTTTCTAATATCCTGGGGTGATGCTTAATTTCTAAACAGCTGCCTTAGTTTTAGGAAGTTTCAGTTTCTTGTAAACATGTCAACATCAGACCTCTACTTAAAAAAAAAAAAAAACAACAACCTGGACCTTCCGTTTATCTAAATTTAGACCCATTTCTCACTCATTTGGATCTAGAGTTTTACAAAAAGCATTTTATACTGGGTTATCATTATCTTTAGACAAATTCGGATCAGCACAGTACTGGGCCTACTCTGCTAAAAGCCAAAATCATTATTTTATTACTTGGCTCCATGCTGCAACATGTACAGTAATGTTCTCACTGTACATGTTGCCACTGAGTTTGGTCATCACCAAACAATCTGCTGTTTTATATTTGTATCTGTTTTGTCTACAGCAACACAACTGCATTCGACTCCATACAGAACAGATTTGAGGACATTAGAGTGGATTTTACAATCCTTCCCGCACCTGAATGACAATTAAAACGGAATGAATTTTGTTTCGGGCTAAAATAAATCTATCTGTATCTATAATGATACTTGTGAACTTTAAAAGCCCATAACCCCACTCTTCAGAACCAGAAGCCCCCCCAAGTCAAAAGACCAAACAATAGGGGGATGGTTTATTTGCTGTAGCTGGTACAAAGCTACAGCCTTTTAGTCAAAACAGAGTAACTCTGTTTAAAACCAAGCTATTAAAAAAAACATAACAGACACACATTACAGCACTGTTTCACTCCTACTTTTTATCAGAGTATGTTTCAGTCAAAATATTTACTTTGTCTCTATTTGAGATAGCATTTTTTCATGCTGGGGCACAATAGTGAAGTCAAGTGCTGTACAAATAAAGTTTGATTGAATTCCCTCTAAAACAACAAGCAACCACTCCCACAACGATCCTATTCACCAAAGCTCTCAATGGTATTTTTGTCACATCCAAATGCAAGGATTAAAAGTATTCCAACAACCCTAAATTTTTTTTTATACATATAACACCAAATTTAAAGGTTTTCCATTTGGATTTTATATGAAAGATGAACAAAGTAGTGCATAATTGCAAATTAAAAGCTTAAAAGAAAGACATGGCCATCAAACTTGTAGTCACATTCATATTCCTCTTCCTTAACACAGTTCAGTAAATTCAACCCTTCTGAAATAGCCTAATTTGAAATTAGTTTATCAATTTACCCATAGGAGTCAAAGCATAGCCATGATGGTGGCAGCATCATGATGAGGGACTGCCTTTTGTCAGCAGAAACAGGGACATTGGAAATGGCTAACAGGGACCTGAGGGGAAACTACATTTGGGTCAGTTTAAGTTGAGATTGGGACAGGCTCATGTTTGAGCAGGACAGGGACAATAAAGGAGCTGGAAGAACAACAACGGAATGGTAGAGAAAGGCACATTTATGTGGTGATGTTACAGCCCAAGACTTTTCCTGAGTCCTTAACATCCCTGCTTAGAGCTTCTAATTGGAAGTGGAGGCAGCTGGCCAGGCTGACGTCAGCTCCATCTTTAGGAGCACCAATCTTCCTCACCTGGAGGCCCAAACCAAGCTCCACAGCCCAAGCGCGGCTCCAGCCCAAGTCAGATGATCAACCCCAGCTGGTAGCAAATCAGCTCAGACCGGACCAGCTTGCAGGAGCTCAGCTCGTTCCTCTCTGCCACCTACTTCTCTCTTTCCCTCTCCTCTCCAACCATTTATGTTTGCTAAATAAATCCCACTTTAAGTTATCCCTATGCGAGGCTTCCCTTTAATTTGTTGTGGTCCAAGAGCCAGGCCATAACAGGGGAACATTCAGGTCCAAATTAATGGCGGATAATTTTCTTTAGACCTAAAAAAAAGTGCATGCTTGGGGTTGGTCATAAAGTAAATTAAACTTTATTGTTCATCAGTGAAAAAAGTCAAGGGTATGAAACAGTTTTGCAAAGTGCTGAATGGTTTACTGCAAAAAAATTTTCCACAACTAAAGCTTGTAGCACAAGCAGTAGATGCTAAATAATGGAAGCACTTCTGCAGCTAACTGGCTTTTACCATGAGAGCTACTAAGAGACAGGACAAGGTTGTCCTTTTTGTTTAGCGTCAGTTGGGTCATTTCTACCTTTGGTGGAAAAGTTCTGGTGTTGAATAACAAAAGTCACCATTGCACCTTTGTTCATGATATTCTGTTTTTACATTTCTATAATGACAACTGCTAAAAAGCAAAGTTTCATTAAACAGATAAAACTGAACGCAGGTTTCCCAATCCGTTGACAAGTTTCCTCAACGATCGTCAACAAATAAAACGGTCCAGAATAAAACCGCATGTCATCACTGCAGCAGCTATCCACTAGCTTTAAAACATGACCGCAAAAATTATGGTTCAAGATAAACTAGAAAACATAAATTGCATCTAATGCTTTGGTCAAGGGGCATCAAGAAGCAGAAACCGGTCCAGTAAAACAGGATCTCTGAGAAATAGAAGAGTTTCAGCCTGAAGGCAGGCCACAGCAGGGACACAAAGCCAGAAGCACCGACTCTACAAGCATATTCACTAACCACATGCATGCATTGACAAACAGATATGCTGAACTTTAAAGCTCTTGGCTATTCTGATCAAACTTGTTCCAGTTTACAACTTCTGTTGTGCAAGAACACATTTGGTCCACACAAAGGAATATATTTCAGTTCCTGCTGCCTTGACCTCGGTCTATTCAATGTCATCTCCTTACAGGCTCAGAATGCAGCGTTTGGTTAAAAATGAAAGCAGAAATAAGCAGTTCCTTTTCTTCTGACCTCCAGTTAAACCAGACAGGTCATTACGCTGCTGCTGCCACCACCAGGAAGGCTGAGCGCATCATTCTTTCAGCAGAGATGGCAACTGGCTGCCGTCTTCCTCCTCCTTAAGCAACCGTACATTTCCAGGAGAGCAGAAGATGTTGCAGCTGACCCCCTCACACTCTGGACACAAATCGGTTTAAACTTTCCCCTCTATCAGTATTCAAAAACAGCTTTTTCCACCTGCAGCTAGCCTTGTTACGGAGGCCAGATCTTCCTCTGACACATTCCTATTGTAAATAATACAAATATCTCAACTTTTGAATATAATATTGTTGTTACTTTATATTTCTAATATCAACCATGGCTGTTTTCCTCTACAAATCTTGTCTTTTTTTTCTTCTATTCTCATAAAATTCCAATACAACTTGCATCTTTGTTTAATTCCAAATTATATAGCCTACTTCAAAATTTCTTTCAGTACCTCTATGTTTGTCTCTGGGCAGGACCTAACCACAAAGCAAATTCCTCACAGACCTCAAACACCACTTGGCAATAAAGCCTTTTCTCATTTGTCCATTTTTTCTCTGAAGTCAGACATGCTGCTTCTCATATAAATCCATTCACATATTATTTTAAGAACTAAAAACATAAGAGGGAGCAGATATGTGCAGCAGGCTGTTCAACACATTAGTCTGAGAAAATTACCTTTTAAAAAAAATAAATATATTTTTTTTTCCTTTTTTCAAATTCCAAAAGATGCAAAGCTCATACTAAAAAGATGGGAGCTATTTAATAGGAAAAAACATCTTAATATTTTAATTAACCTACTGATCACAGGTTAAAATGTATGAACAGACTCCAATCTTCTTTGATCGTCTTTTAATATGTATAGAATAAAACACTTAATATATTTATCAAGCGGACAATAAAAGGGTCATAAATTACTTATCTTTTTTTCCATGAACTATTTCATCTTTTCAACCTTATGTAAACAAAGGAAATATCTGAATCAGATTTCAGTCAGCACACGAACCGAACGGCAGAAACAGCTGCTTGTAAAGGAGAATGGTTTGAGAGTTTCTGGGCAGAACCCAAACAGAGACAGAATGACTTCATCTGGGAAGACTCCTGCTTTTGTAGCTCTGCCCTCATTTTGCACAGACAAAAAGTCAAAACAGTTCAGTAAATTAATAATTGCGTATATAAAAACAATACAATTCTTTTCTCCACACAACTTTAACGGACTGCATCTCTCTACTGTGGTCTGCAGTGTAGTTTTTCTCACTCTTCATTTTTTCCAAAACCACTTCGCTGTGAAGCCCAGAGGTGCTTCAAGAAGCGATCGAGCAATTAAAGCCAGAAATAAACGTGAAAGTAAGACAAAAAATACTCCTACGGAAGTGTTAAAACTCTCCCTTTTTTGTTTTTTGCATCAAAATACTTTCATGCCTTTTGTTCCTCAATGTAGGTAGGTTACAATGGCTTTGTTAAAATGGACATCAGTTATAGAAATGAAGGCCAGCATAAATAAAGATGCATTGTGTCAACATGTCAATCAGAATATTGTGACTAAATTCTGCTCAGTTGGAACAAAATATTAATTTGATTAATAGCTGTGGTGTATGCCGATGCGTTTAGAGTGAATGGAAACATGATTCAGCAAACTGAACTTTCTAAGCTCTTATGTGGAGGACGGGGCAAAGACCAAAGATGTCATCCTCTAATGCTGGAGCAGCAACAGCATGAGTTACTGAACCTGATGCTTAAAAATGGAAAGCCACAACTTCTGAATCACCGTCAGAACCTGGGGGGGTCCATTCTATGAGTTTTAGGGAATTGCTTTTGTTCTGATTAAAGACTGACGCATGTTAGGATTATTTGATATTGTGCCCATTTAAAAAAAAAAAGAAAAGATATTTGAGCAAGCCCTCTTATTTTAAATGCATTTTAATCTGATCAACAAACTTTGCATCTGAAAACATAGCTAATGAGGGCAGAAAAGCTCAATTTGTTGCAGATTTTGATGTATTTTATGTTGAATTGTTTTTATAACCTATAAGATCAGTTATTGATCTCATGTACGCCGTTGTTAAAATGCATACATTTCCAAATATAATTGTATTTTTTGCTTTAAGTGAGGTCTTACAGAAAATCTTTTCCTCTTTGAGTGATTTATTTTTTCCTCCAACCAAACACTGATGCCATGATCATTCAGTTTCCTGTTGATGCAATGTGATGGGTGTAGACTGACTCCAAACCAGCATTCAGCATAAACAGAATCTGATCTAGTTTTCCCAGGTGGCTGTTTTCACGCTGCCACCCTGCAAAGGTCAGTGCAAAGGCTCTCATTGGTTATAAAGGGTGCGTATTTACTGCTGGGTTCCCATCAGAGAAGAGCAGAGATAGATGCAATATAAATTAAACATTTACAGCTACCTTAAGAAAATTGGCAATGGAGCTGACGTGGTTTGCACATAATCCCTTCCTGGCATCTTTTACACCTTCTCCAGTCTGAAACAAGAACCATTACAGAAAAGGTTAACCAGAGGTGACAACTTTCAGGACTATTAAAGGGAGAAAGGAGAAGTACTTACCCAGTTGATGAGAACATATTTAGGCAGACCAGAATTGGGATCTTGGACCCGGCAGAAACCGTACATCACTTTTCCACTGTTGAGCTCCTCAACCAGCTCCTCCAGTCCTCCATCTGATACAAACATTGTGGAAGAATTCAATGGTTTCTGTGGTTTGTTGTGCAGCTCTGGGCATATTTTCCCCTCTAGCAAATGTTGGGCTTTAGAAAGCAAAGGCTTGCAGTTCTTTTGTGCACATATTCAAGCAGTACAGCTGCATGCTGACAGGGACATTCCTGCATACATTTGATAATATCATGATGACAACTCAGTTATTTACCTCCTTTTTCTGCAAGGCGAATGTCATTACTGTTTCCCTCATAGGTGAACAAGGCCCTGTGGAAAACACCAAGTTAAATTCACCATAGGCATACAGCACAATCCTCACTTAATGTTTTCTAGACCTACTTCATGCCACCATGACACTTAAGTGCTCTTCAGACAAGACATTCTACAAAGGAAGTAGTTGTGTAAATACCACTGCAGTTTTAATCCTCTTTTGAAACAGACATGTTAGTAATCTTCCCAGGCTGCTGATCTTTGTCAACAGAAAGATTTAATAGGATTTGTTCCTAAAACTCTACATCATGTTAAGACTGGTTGTTCAAAGACTATATTCTTAGACGCAAAACATTTTGGTTTTAATTGGATCTAAAATATTTATACAAAAATGTGCTTTTTAAACTGGCAAAGAGAAAAGACCCGTCTCAACTTTAAGGATATATTTCATAAGAAAATAAAAGGAAGGGGCAGCAAAGACATATATCGACTGCAGGACTAGAGAAATGTAGAAATAGTTACCCTGCGATGTGTTTTCACATGGATAAAGATATAAAAAGAAAAAGCTTCGCAAACTAATCTTATGTTTTATATTTTTTGCAGACTATACTGAAATGCATAGGTAAGCTGTAATAAGAGCTTATCAGACTGCATAAGTTATTTAACTAGAGATAGACCAATGCGACTAAACAGAGCAGCTCTGGTCGTCAGTAGATAAAAAATTCAAATATCTTTCATCGTTTATAAAATCAAAACTAAAACCTACCTACCTACCAGGTGTATATGTGCATCAGCTAACAGCTTGGTAGTTTGATAGTCTAAAATTATTTGGATGGAAAACATACATAAAAGAAAGTCAAATAAATCTAACTAAGTAATTGGTATAGTTAATTTATCTCATGGGCTTAAAAAAACCTTAGTTAAACAGGATGGAGCATTTTTTCTCTTTTGTGCAGCAAAAGGTGCCAAAGGATTCAGAAATCATATCAGAAGTAGGGATGTTTGGCCAATATAGGTCCAGTATCGGATATTAATATCAGATTGGGACATCCCTAATTTAGCCAAGTTCGATAAATCATTTTAATGCAGTTTACGGTGGACCAATTTCCAAATTTGAGATAAATTCTATAGATACTCGTTTTTCCTCAAACAAACAAAAGAAAAAAAGAAAAGATAAATACTTGAAGGCGTACCTAGAATCTTTAGTCTTAAACGTTCCCTCTGCCAGCTATTAAAAATTGCAGACTCAAGGTCCAAGAAAAACAACAAATACTGCTGATTAATCTACTTCCTATTTGGGAACTTGCAAGCTACTTCCTCTTACAATTTTGAACTAGATTTCTGTGAATTCAGTCAAAGCATAATCTAATGTTAATTCTCATAGATTAACCTGTAATAAAGTCAGGGGAAGAATTTTATGTTCCAGAAAAAGTGTCTGAGGGCTGAAAAGAGAAAAAAAATGATGACACTGAAAGATTGCGAAGAGATATATATATAGTTCCCAGAGCAATTTCTCCTTTGGATTAATTAATGAAGCTCACAGTTAAACACTTCAGCTGTCCTCAACAGGTTTTTATCTTGAGGCAGTGACAGCACTCTAAGGACTGTGTGACATGAAAGAGGAAGTATCTAAATTAGCCTCTCATGTTTTACCTCTATCTCGTCAGGAAGTGGGTAAAATAGGTGGGAAATAAACCTAATTTACTTCATAAGACAATTTCACAGTTGCTGCTTAAAATAAATATTAAATAATTACTTAATTGTTTAATTAACAGCTATTTTTTATGTTAGCATATTGAAATCCCTAGAGAATTACTGTCAATAACTCATTAGCATATTCTCCTATGAGAAGAGATGCGATATTTTCTAATATTATTATTGTCATAGTGTCTAAGAGCTTAACGCTAATTGGTTTGACTTTACTGTATAAGTTTTATCCAATTTAAAGCAACTTATTTGACGATTGACTCAAAGCTAGCGACCGTTGTAAGCTAGCCAGCTCGAGCTAACGCTAGTTTAAAGATGGTGCCCTTACCAGTTCGTGTCGGATTTTTCATCTACTACTTCTTTATAGGCGGCTGTTAACGCAGGGCCATTTTTGCTGAGGTTTACAGACATCGTTTATGCCGAGTACAGCTAGCCAGCTAGCTCTCTACGGGCAGCACCCTTTCTACAGGAGGAGTGGCGACGATGCTGACTTTCAGCTGAGGGACGCTACATTAGCTCAAGGTGTCCTCCATATTAGGCTTCATGAAACCCGGAGGCGGGGCTCTTTCAACACTTTTACTCTTGACAATGTAGGAATCAATTCATATTTTTTAGAAGCCTCGCTTTGTCTATCAGGGGCAATTATTTGTTCATTATATTTCAATGTTGATCAAGTTTTAGGTCTGAACCGTAACATCCTCGCACAAGCACCAATTAATCAAGCGTACCCAAGGTGTGCGTCGCTAAATGGTAATCAGCGGCCCTCTACATGCATACACACCCCCTGGGCATCTGCCTTTTAAAGGTCCCTCCAGTTATAAAAAGGGTATTTTAAGGAGTTAATTAAAAGGTTAATTTAAGAAAAGTATTTAAAGTCCTGTATTTGTCACTGTGTTAGTAACTTAGAAACACTGTGGGATTTTGTGAGCTATATCACAAAGTTTTGAACACATTAAATCTATAGAAATCTGGCCGAAGCTTATCAGCCTATTAAGTAAATAGAATAAACGTTTTCTATTAGTTTCTAACAATTTTGTACCCTTAAAGTTTAATTTTTAAATTTTTTCCCCATTTCTGGTCAGATGGGCTGGCAGTTTTCAGTTCATTTATTTTACCAATTTACCAATTAGTAGTTTTTCTTTCTTTTAAGAGTCCATTTTGTCTTATGTTAAGAACTACAATTCAATCTCTTTTTTTAGGTAAGCAAACTTTTATAAAAAAAAAGCTCTAATAAAACATTTCATTGATATTTATTAGGCCTAATAGTCACAGATTGATGTTTAAACAATTACAACCCTGATTGCATGTTTAGCGTTGTTGCCCTGCAGCAATGTCCCAGTAATACAACATATTTTGCAGCTTCTAACAGGTTTTCTTCAACATTTGCCCTCTATTTGCTCCATCCAGCTTTGCTGTACCAGCAGAAAAGCAAAAACATCCCAACATCATGAAACCTTCACCACCGTGTTTCATCATGAAATGTGTTTTGTCATGCAGCATTTTGCATGTAGGTAAAATAATGATTCTGGTGTTCCTGATCACCTTCTTCCATAGTTGAACCTCTCCCTGTGGCTTGTAGCAAACTGCATGCAGGAAGTTTAATATTTTCTTCATGCAGCCAAGATTTAAGTCATTGAATTTCCTAACAAATTTTAAACTTATTTCTTGTGACATCTAAAGTTTGATATCTCAGTCAACATGATTAAGTTATATTTTTCCACACAAAAACACCAATACAAGCAGTAATAAACCAAGATGAACTTTATTTTCTTATTATAACAATGTCATTAGTTATCTTGTTTTTAAACTATGTAAAGACATGAAGGTTCACGGTGGCAGTCGAAGTATATTTTACTCCAGATTTTCAAACGCATGAAGGCAGGTTCTGCATTCTGTCAAAGCCATAACATCAGTGCTGTTCAAGCAGGTTCCTGTGTCTTTTAACGAGATGAATGAACAACCAAATTTTGAGTTAAAAGTCCTGACAGCTAATTTACAGTTAATGATACATCCTCCAGATATAGAAAAATGAGGGTTAAGGCTAAAAATGTTTTAGTCTGAGGTGTTAGGCAGATAAAATGTAACAAAATCCCTGATATCTGGCAAATGGCTGTGAGAAGGTTTCTCCAGAGTGCAAAGCATGCCAAGCTGCCTATAAAAAAATCTACGGTGCACACTGGACAAAGAAGTTAAATGTAGCATCAGTCATATTCATAATTGGATGTGAATTAAACTATACAGCTGAAACAAGTAAATAGATGACTGCACTTAAACTGGATTGTGCAGCTAAGCCTTTCACTGCATATAGAGAATAGATGTTTAACACTTTTAGACTGTATTCTTTTTTTAAGGACTTCTTTTAACTGTTTCTATAACATCTGCTATTGAAATCTATGTTACCTGCCTAATTCAGTGTAAATTCTACAAAGCTTCTACAATCAGTCATGCTTAACTATGCAACTTCCTTGTTAAAACTAATCAATGCCTCAATAGCAGAAAAAAAACACTTCCCTTTTTAAATACCCAACATTTCCCTTTAAATTGGCAGCACCAGCATACTGAGACACAATCACGACTTTTTTCATCTGCCTTTTCCAGCATTCACAACGGAGTACATTAGAAATATGACATCACAACCACGTTCAGGTTTTGTGACACAGAGAAGAAAAAAAAAAGCCTAAAACTAAAAGCTTTTCAAAAATACAGCCCCAGATGTATTACTCTGACAAACAGTTTTACTGTCAGTTAAATCCAAAAAAAAAATGTTGCAGACCCACTCATGAATATGAAAAAAAAAAAACAATACTTCATGTCATATTTTAAGCAAATTATAGTGTCATATTTAACATCTCAGGTAAATAAATGCTCACGACTTAACATGGCAAAGTTTGGGACTCCTCTCCAATAAAAGGACCCCTTTTATTACAGTAAAACAGTAGTGATTAAGTCTCATCATGAGAAAGAAAGCTGTTAAAATCCTGGTGTTCAGTGAATATCAAAAGTCCTGCAGAGGGGTAGCAAGGATGACAGTACTTCTTACACAGCATTTATTTGTGCGCAACACACTGCCTCTTCGGGAAAAAAAAAATTGTTTTTTTTGTAATATGAACAGAGATGAGGACTGTACATAGAGAACAAATAATAAAACGGGTCAATGCTTGTCAAGTCTGATAACATGGTGAGATACCTGAGTAACTGTACCAACAAGGTGGAGCCCAGCGAAGCTTTACGTGAAGGTCTATCTAAGTTTGTAGCTACATAACACGAAATGACAGTAGTATTGTTTTGCACAATGAATATATCAGTGAATGGTGGTTAATTCATTAGTATAGAAGTGCGATGACCACATGTGAGAATAGGGAAATGAAACTCCAGCCCATTAGGGTCCCAGAACACAGACTCTAAGCCTACTGGCTCTAAAACAATTAGCTATCCAGTGTCTTAAAAACTGTAAAATACTTTTCAAATTTGCAATTACAGCAAACATCGAAACTATTAATTTTATTTATGCATTTCACATTGATTTGGGGTAGAGACCATCATTGCCAGCAGATAATCTGCTGGGCCATTACATGTTCTACGAGAAACATTCTGTCTCAATTGCACATACACTAAACAGTTAAACACATAAAAGGCCACTAAATACATGAAAGTACAGAAATAAGAAGAAATCCAGAAGGGTGCATAAAGTACCTCAGAAATGAAGGAGAAGGAACTCTCCCAGATCAAACAGTTTGCATCTCTGCAGGGTCAAAATATGACAGTAAAAATGAAGTGTATGAAGAGCAACAATGATAATCACAACAAAATGACCAGTTTACAGTCTGAGTGTGGCATCAGGAACTGTAAAGAATTTCCAGTATTCCTTATGGGAGTGCTTTAAGGAGGCCCGCCAGGTCCTGCTCTGCAGATCTATACCAGTAATGAAGGACAGCACATTGTAGCAGCTCAGCACACAGAAAGCCAAGTGGCACTGTACCGTATTACATCACTTCCTTCTCAAAATGTGGGCTGCTTTGTTTTTACTTTTTATTTTTCTCACCTCTGTTGTTCATTTGTATCAAGTAACAAATCCTTAGTGGGTTCTTTTGTTCTTATTTTTTTTTTTTTTTGTCTTCCTTGTGTAATCACATTGCATACTTCTGAGTCCATTCTCTTGCTAATTTATTGTACCTGTAAAGCAAGAAGCAGATGAGGACAACTTAGACAACTTTTATTGTAATTTTGTATACACAGAGTTCATAAAAAAGGGAATAAATTCAAGGATGCTGTAAACTTTAAACCAGTGGTGCTCAAACATTTGTAGAAAGGGACAAAAACTTTTGCAGGCCATAAAATTGCAAATATAGTTTTACTGTCTAAAGGCTCAGCAATAAACTGCAACATTTCCCAATCTGGTAACTGTGGTGGATGCAACTAATAATAATTGAACTTTATTGATCTCATATTGGAGAAATTTACCTCTGCACTTAACCCATATCCTTGAGGAGCAGTGGGCTGCCATCGTGAGGCGCCGGGGGAGCAGCGTGGGGTTAAGGGTCTTGCTCAGGGACCCAGAGTGCAGGCTGTGGGGATCAAACAAGGTACTTCTACCTTCTCAGAGCATAAGCGCACTGCTCTTAACCACTAGTCCAACAATCCCCCTGAAAATAAGCTAAGCTAAGCTAAACTGGGTCTTTTTCCATTTTCAACAGCATTAGCTGCAGCACAAAATTAATTTGAAGGCAATAAATGGCATAAGGTCACATTTTTGACACCTCTGGTTTAAAGTTCATTTCTCTAAAAAACAAAACTCAGAGTGAGAATCAGATAAACGGTGAGCTGTGGTGTAAACACTCACTTTTCCCTGTCAGCTTTATACGTATGCGCGATCTCTGGAACCAGTGGGTCATCTGGATTTGGGTCACAAAGAAGGGAGCAGATAGACAATAATACTGTGGAGACATGAGGCAAAAGGCTAAAGTTAGAGATCAAATTCAATATCCGTCTACACGAGAGAGAAAAACAATCTACAAAAAAAAACAACAAAAAAAAACATGATAAGAGTATGTTTTTATGGATAATTGTCCAGATTTTGAAGGAAAAAACAGCTACAGTTTGGGGTTTGTTGTATAACCAGAATGGTTACTCACCATTGATGTTTACTGTGAATCACAAAATGAGGTTTGTAAATCGAGGTAAACTGAGGTTCAGTTCATGTTTTTCAAAAACAAAAAGCTGATTTACTTCTTACCTGTGTTTATACCTATGGTAACTGGAGCTGAATCTTTTCATGATTAGAGATCTAGAGCATAAAAGTGACGCTTCTAAACCAGTAAATTTCCAGAGAAAATGTATAAAAAGGAACCGGATGGCAGTGCTGTCCTCACATAGTTAGACCCCAGGAGAATCATGGTTGAAAAACAAAGCAAAGTCTAAATCCAAAATAGTCAGGCTATGCTAGGCTCAAATAGAGGTTAGTTTGACCTTTATAGACGTATATTCTGGTTTATAATCATCTCCAAGCAGTCTACATGTAAATACGTCAGCGGTTACTTTCTTCCTTCCACTTCCATCTGATCTGTGCACTATTTCAGATATATCTTACGTCAGCATCCCTTGGTTGATTTCCTGAGTTGATAACCTGCCTTCTAGTAGTATTTAAAGACATCGTTAAACAACCTTAGCATGAAGTTAGCACTAAGGTCATTTCAACCCAGAACATTGCCATCTTGGATATTATTTTCTGATCATTTGCCATCAGTCTGCTTTCTGTATTTTCACTGTTATGTTCAAACTGAGGTTTTTACATTGACAGATTCGAAAAGAGTCCTCCTTGACCTGGACTAAGCTGCTTAAGCACATCTAGCTGCTAAAGTAACCACAAGCACAGAACATAATTAAAAACTGAGAAATCAGAAAAATCCAGTAATAACAACAGATTATTTGTTACAGTTGTGGATCAAAGCTAAAGCAATTTCAATGCAGTGTTTGCAAAAATGTGCAACTTAAACAGGTTTTTAAATAAACTTTGCAAATCCTGACTACAAAGCATGTAAAGAAGAGAGGAAGAAAGAGATTCAGATGATGCAAATAAAAACAGCCCAAATTTCCATCAGTAGGAAAACACCTACTGTGATTTCAATCTAAATACTATATAACCTCTAAAATCCCTTCATGTGTTTGATCAGTACAGACTTCTGTTTTTACTTGTCTAGAAAAGGTAGAGAGATCAACAGTTATATTGTGTTGTTTACGAGTTCGCTTTATTTTTTTGCTGCCTCAGCTTAGGTCTACAGCAACATGTCATACATGGTGCCTTCGATGGAAGATAAAGAGGAAGGGTCAAATGAAATTGTCACTAAATGTAATTTTTTACTGACAACTAAGACTTTCCAACTACCATGGTAATCATATAAAGCCAGAAAATTTTAAGTAAAACGAGGAAAACCAAACTTATTGGCCTAAGCAAGAGCAGAGTACTTGACTCAACCCTTAGTTTTATTAATACTAGTCTTTCTTTGGAAAAGCAAAAATTCCCATGTTAACTGGATTTACCTTTTGACACTGTGAGAGCAGGTGACCACTGCGACCTTAGTATGTCCAGACAAATACTCCCATTGCTGTTGATATTAGGGTGGTATATTTTTGTTGTGAATGCAACCTGTGTCAAAATATGAGATAAAAAAAAAGCAGCCCATAAACATTAGTCCTTGACCAGAGTGAAAACTGCTGAAGTATAAGAGATATATGACAATTCTTACTTTTGGTGGTTTGAAGGGATAATCTGTTGGAAAGTGAATGGTAAGGAAAAACACTCCACTCTGGTATGGACTGTCACTCTGGAGACACAAAAATGAAAACAAGTCAACACATTTAAAAAAAATACCCCTTCAATATACTAGCTGAAATTTGGAAGCAGATTTACTTACTGGACCCATTATTGTCGCTTGCCAATGAAACACTATTAAGATATAATAAGTCATGTCAATTTGACATTCTTTCTTAAGGTATTGATAAAAACTTTGAAAGACATAAAAAGGAAATATTTATTTTGTCGGACGAGGAATGCCTACAATGCCTTAACAAATCATCCATAACAATATACTTACAGTCATCTCCGACTGGTCCAGCAGAACACTGGGCGGGAGGGTCCCTCTGCAGGTCGGACAGTTCCTGAAGGAGGACGGTCACACAAATATTTAGCGTTAGGTCCAGATCCATTCCAATACATTTATATAAAGCCTTGACAAACAGCAGTTTATCTAATAACCTCTTAAAATTAACTGTTGATGCAATTAAAGAAATAAACAACTAAATATAATCATTATATTCTGTTGGTTCTAATACCAGTCTAGTTTGTGAGTGCATACTATATATATATATATATATATATATATATATATATATATATATATGACCATCTTTTACAGTAAGTGTGAAAATGCAGATATTGCAGCAGAGATACATTTTAAGTCATCTGGCTAACTTAATATAGTCAAACCACAATGTGGTATACAAGCAGAAAACCAGATCCAGCTTTACTATCTTATGCATTCAATGTAAAAATATTTGTAAAATTTTACTGAAGCATTTTTTAAGGTGTTTTTTACAGAACGTCTTGCACTTCAATACTGGATTAGATATCTCAAATTTGTTGATTTGATGATGTGCTTAAATTTAGGATTCTTCAACTTTTTTTTTTTGGTATTCTTACATTCAGCATTGAAAAAAATAACTTGTTTTTGATCTTGGCTGGAAATTATGAGATTATGCCAATATGAATTAAATATATGTTAATGTAGGCATAAAGGTACAGAAAGAGAATATTTCTTTTTCAGTATCAATGATTGAATTTTATATAAAAAAAATAATAATAAGGTTGCATCAGATTGCAAAAACAAGCAAACTATGCAAATAGGTCACAAGATTCTCCATTTGGTCACTTATTTGAGATTTCTTTTGATTTTATTAATATAGAGAATCTCCTAACAATTGTCCCAGAGTGTTTGGATTTTCTTTTAATACCAAACAGTTAAGTACAAGGTTATCAAAATTGAATTTACAATACACTATTGTGTAAAGACATAATGAATTTCAGATAAGACACTTAGGACAAAATTCAACAAAAGGAAAAAAAATGTAATCACGTTAAAGCCCTTAAAATAATGCAGCAGGTATAATTAGGTGTATTAAGTCAAAAACAGTCTGAAAATTATATGAAACTTATTTTATGATTTAAAAGATTTTCTTAGCTGCAGGAAGTATGTTGTGTTTGCTGATAAAGCTGTTTGTATGTGAAAATCTGATGTGGCCATTGATGAATTATAGAGTTATATTTTATTTTGCTCCAACTGCTGGATTTATGACGACACTAATGATGGCACACTCCTCTCAAAGGCAGCGATCTATTTTTAAGTATAAGACGAAATCACAACGTAAAGTCAATACACAGATCCTTATTCACTACTTGTTTGTTTTCCATTCCTGTTAGCAGGAGCTTATTATTAAGGTTAATGGTTAATTCAGAAAAAAAAATTAAATCCTATCAAAAGTCAAATATAATTCAATTACCTATAAAGTGAAAACTGATTTTCTTATGCAAACATGTAATAAAATACAATCTGAAAGGGTTTGTTTCTGTATTTGAAACTCAAATTGAATATGCTCTTTAAAAATGATCAATTCAGAATTGCCTTTTTCCCTATGGTAAAATGTACTAGATGGGCATAGTTTATTTAGTAAAAGTAAACAGAATAGTAAGTAATGTATTCCTTTGGCTATGCTTATTATAAATCAATGAACAGACACCATTCTAATCACAAAAAATACTAAAACAATAAAAAAAAGTTGCACAATGTTTTTTTATACATTAAACAATGTTTTTTTTTGTCTCAATCTTCTGTGTAAACTGACATTGATTACATAAAAGCATCAGGTTTTAAACCAGTGTAATGTTTTTCAATCACAGACGACCTTGGTTTCATTCAAAACTTATTTTATGTGTGAAGTATTTTGCTCAACATCTTCCTTGTTGGAATTAACCTTGTCAGCTGAATAGACAGTGAAAAGTGCTGTTATTTTTTCAGATAATTCAATGTATCTCAAACATAGAAAACACTAACATAAATTAGCTATGTTAGCTTACTGACAAAAAGTAAACAAATATGCAATCTGCACCATGACAACTTGCATTTTCTCTTTTATTCATGGTGATTGTTTGGTACATTTATTACAACGTGAGCTATTGAAATCTAAAGTCTGTTTACATACTCAAGTTTGCCCATTAAAGTCTATCTAATTATGATTTTGAATTAAGAGGGGTCCAATTACTACACAATTTTGGCACTTAAATTAATCTAATTAACTTTAAATAAATTAAATATAGAAATAGTCTTCAACTAATTTAGCAATCCACTCAGAGCAGTAGTTTAGTCAAACTGTATAAATAAATGGATGCTCTCTGGTTTAATATGAAAATACTTATTTGTCTGCAAATATACTCTAACAAGAAACTTCTTGAGCGGCACAATTTTCATTAATTATCTTTAAACAGATGAAAATTTCAATCAATTAACAAAGGCATCACTACTTTAGGTCCTAATGTTTGTTTTTTTTAAGCAATCTGATCTAATAATAATAATATATAAAAAAATCGCTTAACTTTTGTTTTTTAACCACAAATCAAATCCAACAAGCAAACATGAAAGTTATATAATGAAAATTCAAGTAAAAGCTAAACATCAAACTCTTAAACAGAAATTAGACCTGTTATTTAACGTCAGTTGAAAGGAAGCCTATTATATAAATACACACCATAGCCTGCTCCAGTGGCCCATTTGCCATTCCATATATGGCAACACTGACTGTAGGGTTCAAATTTGGCAACCACCGTGCAGCTGTCATTCAGAGAGTAAACACACCAGCCGCTACAGTGTTGGAGACAAACTAAAATGACTCTAAAGTCTGAAAAGATGGGAAAATATCAGAAAATGTTCGTGCCAACGCAACGTCTCCACTTCAAAACGGTAGCAGTTACAGCTAGCCAAACGTTGATCTGTTAACTGACTGGATAAAAACCAGGTTAACTGCAACGAAATTACATATTGCTGCTTTTCTTCTCATGGTAGACATTTTTAGCTAAACAAACGGAGGTATTTATAAAGTGTTAGACGGATAACTGAAACAGTATCAGTGTAGCAATGCACCAACTGAGCTGGCAGTGGTCAAACCGCCTTTGTCTTTGAATTATTTTGAAAAAGAGCACAGAAAACACAGGAGCGAGGCCAAATTTCACAAAATGTTACAACGAGACTGCATCTTTAAACAGTCAGTCACACCATAACAGAAACATCCAAAACAACGTTTGTCGGGTAATAAAAGCAAACATACACTCACCTTCTGAATTCTTTTCAACGCCATTGCTTCAGTGGTTGGCTATGCTAAGTAGCCTGTCAGCTAACAGTTAGCACCCCAGACATACAACTAGGATTCTATGGCTGCGGACTGATGAATTCCTCTCTGACTATAACAAACACACCACGCTTTCTAAAACGGGAAGTTTGGGGTAGAGAAAAACTTGTGCGACAAACGGTGTCTCCCTTTTTGACGCTCGTACTTCAGACAGCAAAGAAACAACCGATATGTTTTTGCTGTGTCTCTGCTGCTCTTCGCACTGAGCGAACAGTTAGTATCGCGAGACTAATATTACATGAAGCAATTTACAGTCCCCTAATAAAATGCCTGCATATAATCATGATAGATAGATAGATAGATAGATAGATAGATAGATAGATAGATAGATAGATAGATAGATAGATAGATAGATAGATAGATAGATAGAGATACCATGAACTCCCATTTATTGGTCCAATATGTCATTATAATACAAACTCACAAGTGAATCATATACATACACTCATCCTAACAGCATGAAACCCAAAAGAAAAATAAATAAAATAAAACCCACAAAAACTGAGAGTAAGCAATTCATTACTTACACAACATAAAAGATCTCCACCTCCCCATATACAAATGAACTCTTTCGAGTCTGACACCATCTTATAATAGGCAAACTCTGTCCTAAGACATGCAGCTACCAGCCCTCTGAATATCAGGTCAGCATCTACAGAACCTTTCTCCTTCATTTTATCTATCCTGCTGAGCCAAATGCTCATCTTTGCCTGACCAAGCAAAAAGTTAACCAGAAATATTACTCCGTTGTGCTACTGAGTATCTTGGACCAAAAATAAACAGTTTGTTAGATAGATAGATAGATAGATAGATAGATAGATAGATAGATAGATAGATAGATAGATAGATAGATAGATAGATA